GGCTGCCGTGGGCGCAGCAACGCAGCGAGAGGGCGTGCGGAGGGAGGGAAGGTGCCTGGCTTGATCCAGGTGATCTCCATAGATCAGACCCTGGGCTTATTCCTCGCTGCCCCCCGGAGAGCACCCATCGCCTGTGCAAGGTGCAGGTGCACGGTTAGCATTCCTCTCCCAAGCCGCCGACTCCTTCCTGGAGGCCCCGACGAAGCCGTTGGCAGTTGGCCGAGTGTTCGGCAAGTTCTGGGCGAGCACCATGATCTTTGCACTGCCACTCTCTTGCCATGGCCCTGAAAAAACAAATTCTCCCGTATCGAGGAAGGAAGAGTTGATGAAAAGCTGCAGTTGGCACCTGGTTTGGTTTCGTTACCTGGGGAGCCTCAAGTCAGCTCATTGGGGAAATGCTGCCAAAGCTCTAGTGCCCTGTCCGAAATCCACTGTACCATCCGTGTCTGCAGCGTCTGCCCACCCTTCTTCATCCTGAGCCTCCCGGTCTCCCTGCGCAGCTCCAGCCGGGCTTCCAGGTCTGGCAGCGACCTACTGAGATGGGAACCACTTCCAATTCACGTGCCGTTTGCCGAGATGTGAATTCTTTCTGTTAACTTGAGGCTCTCTCTGTTGTGTACTTTTACGCTGAAGTAAATCCTCCGTATTGGTGCAGTTTTGGAGCTTGCACAAGTCAAATCTCTTCTAATTAAACAGCCTGCTAAAGTGTCATCAAACAACTAAAGCTCTTGCTGATTCCACCGAGGTCTGGCTTAACACTGCTTTGCTTTTTTCGCTGCAGATTTTCATAAATAATGAGTGGCATGATGCAGTCAGTAAGAAAACCTTCCCTTCTATCAATCCAGCAACGGGAGAAGTTATCTGCCAGGTTGCTGAGGGTGATAAGGTAAGTGTTCTCTGGACGACATGGGTTTGTTTTCCACCTGAGCAGGCACCCAGGGAGGCTCAGCTCTCACCTAGGCAGCGCCGCCGAGGGCTGTGTTAGCAGCAGTGCGTGTCTGACCTACACAAATACCACGTCGAGTGCTGCTTGTGTTCTTCCCTGACTACTGCTCTCAACAAAACCCCTCCAGCTTTGCCAGGCTGGGGCTGGAAAGGGAAGAGAGGACTAGGTGGGGTGTGCAGTGGAGCCTGAGTAAGGAAGCTGGGGAGCAGTCGTGGGTGGAAGGTTGCTGGTGCAGGCAGGGATGAAGGCAGACGCCCTTGCTGTCCCGTTGCGGTGTCACCCAGAGTCACGGTGGCAGGGAGACAGAAGGTCAGGGTTCACCCCTTTCTGCTGCACACATGCAGTGGGAGATCATTCCCAGCCCTAGAAAATTAAAAAAAGAAAAAGAGAGGGCGATGGTGAGGAAGCACAGTGGGAGATCATTCCCAGCCCTAGGAAATTAAAAAAAGAAAAAGAGAGCGTGATGGTGAGGAATAGCCATGTAATCATCCTGTGCCTTATGCCAGGCACTCCTAGGAGTCTGTGGCAGAGGTGAGGTGGTGTTTCCCAGCAATTTTGGGTTCCTCCTACAGTCTGGAAACCTGTCTGTATTCCCCAAGGGAGGGGTGAGAGAGGGAAACCCTTTGTTGTTTGTTTGTCCATGGCAGACTGGCTTGTCCTGACGAGACCATTACGGCAAGCCAGAACAGAGAACCGACTAGAAACAAGGTAGTGCCCTGACAGGACAAAACGATGGATTAGAGATATTTCATCAAGGAAAAAACCCCTTTAGACCGTGCTGGCGAAATCAAATCCTGCAAGTGTCAAAAGCCCACTTCTGGAGCTCTTTCCATGCATTGTTCTGGGATGCAAACATTAACCCAGCAGATGACATTGTGAAATAACTCGGCGCTATTTGCTCTCCGCACAGCTGAAATGACAGCGTGTGAGAGCAGGCAGAGGTGGAGGCTGCACGGCTGTTGCACCCATCTGTTTCACTGCCACTTCTGCTCCCTCTTCCCAGCGGATGCAGCGTGGGCAAGAAAGCTGGGGCTGCCCAGCAGCAGTGTTTGTGCTGAGGTTGTGCTGCTGTGCATCGCTGCCTGGGCTGGTGCTCGGGAGGGAGGGGACCCAGGGGGTGCAGCCCATCCTCTCTCCTGCCCTGGGACCGATGAGCGTCTTGCAGTGAGGCAGCAAGTTCTTGTTCCCAAAAAAGCTGGGGCTAGCAGCCACTTGTGCCGCCTGGCTGGAGGCTGTCTTCTCCTGGAGACCAGGGAGGGCTTCAGCTGTGTTTTGGGAGAGTGAATGGGGGCTGGTGACTCCTTTCTCACCCTCTTGCCTGGATTCCTCTGCAGGCAGATGTGGACAAGGCTGTTAAGGCAGCCAAGGCAGCTTTCCAGCTGGGTTCGCCTTGGAGGAGGATGGATGCTTCTCATCGGGGGAAACTGCTGAATCGTCTTGCTGACCTGATCGAGAGGGACCGGGCTTACCTGGCGGTGCGTATGGCCCTCTGGGGCTGAGCTCTCTGCTGCGGTCCCCAGCTTCGGGGAGAGGGAGGCAGAAACGGGTGGTTTGTGTGATGGGGACTTCAGCCACAGCTAAAACAGAGAGCAAGCGAGCTATAAAGGATAGGGAAGTAGTTTTGGGAAGCTGAAAGCAAAAAGGCCAACATGCAGACCTGATCCCTGTCACAAACTGGGAATCTGATCTAAATGTGCTTTTCCCACCTCGTTCTTCAGGCTATCTCCTTGTCTTTTGTAGGCGCTGGAGACTCTGGATAATGGCAAACCGTACTCCACCTCCTACCTGGTGGATTTGGACATGGTAGTCAAGTGTCTCAGGTAGGCATGGAGGCTGCAGTGACAGCACAGTAACTCTTCATGCTCCCCGCTCGTGCTCAGCTGGCCCATGGCAGCTGAACCTCTGCCCGTGCGGAGACTAGGTGCCTCTGATTCAGGCGTTGTGGTGACAGAGCTGGATCTGACCTGCTGCTTTCATTTGACCCATAGGGTGTCAGACACCCTGTTCTCCTCTCTTTTTATTCTTTGTTAAGAATGAGGCTGCAATTCTGGTGACTTTCCAAGGGGTTTTTGGCGTGTATGTTTCTCTCTCGCTGACGGAGGTGATCTGTCGTACAGCCCAGGAATGACAGAATGAGCCTTATGCAGAGTGCTGGCAAATGTGGAGAGACAAAAGTTTCTGTTTACTGTCCATTCTTAAAATCAACTGTTTGGGAAATACTTGTATTGGTATGTGTTTTGTGAAGTGCCTGAAGAAAGGAGGAAAGCAAATAGCTGGAGGAAGTCCCTCTTGGTTTCTGTTAACAGGAGACTTGTTATTCCACATTCAGTGACCAGAACTTTATTGTTGCTAGGTACTTTGCAGGCTGGGCAGATAAATTCCATGGCAAAACCATCCCATTGGACGGGGACTTCTTCTGTTACACAAGACATGAGCCGGTGGGAGTTTGTGGACAGATAATCCCGGTAGGTAAAATGTGTCAGGAGTTCCCACAGCATTTCAAGAATTCAGTGTTTGCATGAAGAGTTGTCTTAAAATGCAAGTTACTATCTGTTGCTAATTGCTGCTTCCTCCAGTGGTAGAGAAAGTTATGCTTGCACCAGCTGGGAGGGCGGTTACTTTGCTCTGGCAGCACTCAACTATTTGATTTTGTGGGCTCTGAGTAAGATTTATGTTGTATCTGCTGGAAAAACAAACCAACAAAAATTTCAACCCCTTTATAGGAGTTACCTGGCTCAGAACCACAATTAAATTTAAACTACTACCTAACACGAAAACTAAAATCCTGTGTGATGAGGAAGTAGGGAATTAGTGTGCAAAATGCAGGTTTATGTACCTGATCTTATTTTGGTAACTGGTAGCGAGGTGGTTTGTCAACAGCAAAGCCACGTTTACGCAACGAGCGGTGGGTAGTGTTACCTCTTGACAGGAGTAGCCAGATTCTGGTTGCTGCGTACCGTATTGGTGTGTTTTTCATATTTGTGTTGAGCGAGAACTGGATGTAAACGCCTCAGTGGTCTGTGTGTGCTGCTGTGTCATTCCAGGCGTTCTTTCAGTACACCTCAAAAGGACGTTTAATGGTTAAACTGACCGTAAAGATTAATTCCTAAAAAATGAGGGGTTTGCAGTGGTACTGAGAGACTGTGCACTTCAGAGGACAGTTTTCCTGGACAAGCAGAAAGCAATGCTTGAGAAGGAGCTGGCTGTTGAAGAGCAGCAAGGGCAGGATCAGAAGCTGCTTCCAGAGGTGCTGCAGCTGATTTGAAAGATGCTCACTGGTTATTTACTGATTAATCGGAAACTTTCAGATTCAGACCAGCAAACACCTTGTTTTTCAGTGGAACTTCCCGCTCTTGATGCAAGCATGGAAACTGGGGCCTGCCCTGGCTACTGGGAACGTGGTTGTGATGAAAGTGGCGGAGCAAACTCCGCTGAGTGCTCTCTATGTGGCTAATCTAATCAAAGAGGTGAGCGAAAAGGCTGGGGTTTCATCCGCTGCCTCGCTGTCACTGCTGGAGGGCAGTGTGATACAGCCAGGCTGGTGAGCGGCGGGGGGCGCGTGACAGGCGCAGAGCAGGGCTGTCTGGTCTCAAGAAAGGCTGGATTGTCTTGGGTATCTGAGCATTTGATTTAGAAAAAAATACCCTTCTCCTTATAAATGCGTATACAGAGGATATAAATCTTGACTGGGGAAGGACTCTGCGGTTCAGATAAACAATGAACTTCAGGGTGATTAGAAAGCCCATACATAGCTCCGAACTATGCTTGGGATGTGGGGTGGGGTGTTGTCCCGGTTCTTGCAAACTGAACACTAAAACTGAAGACCTGGGAAGTTAAAGTGGAGTAGAAAAGGCTCTATTCTTCGTGGGAAGCCTGCTGCGGCATCACTAGCAGCTGAGGGCAGGCGAAATCCTTAGTCTGTGAAAGGAATAACATTGCTGTCTCCCACTGTGAACCGGCAGGCTGGATTCCCACCAGGCGTGGTGAACATCATCCCCGGGTATGGGCCCACTGCAGGGGCGGCCATCTCTTCCCACATGGAAATAGATAAAGTGGCCTTCACTGGCTCCACGGAGGTAAGGGAGTTGCTTAACCTGTAAGCCCCTGGGGTAGAGGGAATATGTCATTGCTGTAATAAAATACTGGAGGTGCCTCACCTTCTACACTTCCTTAAAAATACAGCTGAATTCAGGGCGTGACATTTAATTTTGCTTTACCTAAGGCAGCACCTGATTAGAGTCTTTAGAATACGTCCTATTGTTTGCCTTGAGCTGCTTCTCACTGGAGGTGAAACTCTGGGCAGACTTCAGTTGTTCCCTGAAAGCCCCGAGGAGGAGGGGATTATTATTAAAGCGCTGACTGAGATCTAAGCCCAGCCGCCCAGCCAGGTGTTGCTGTGTGTGGGAGTTAATTCCCAATTCCTGGTCTTCTCACCGTGCAGGTTGGGCACCTGATCCAGAAGGCTGCAGCAGAGAGTAACCTGAAGAGGGTGACGCTGGAGCTGGGAGGAAAGAGCCCAAATATAATCATGTCTGATGCAGACAGTAAGCACCTGCTAGTGTAACGTTTGAGCTGTACCTTTTACATTGGCTTCCTGCAAGCAGAGCCGGAGGGGAAAGGAAACCTCTCCGGGGTTGTGTGAGCTCTGACGCCACCTGGTTGGTCTCACCCAGCGAAGGCTCCGTGGTAGCTGCTGCATTTGTGTGTCAGCACTTCTTCATGCCACTTCTTTCACGGTGCTGTGAGCAAGTTCAGTTATCAACAAATGAGAATTTGTTTCAATATCTTCCTTCAGTCTTCTCAGTTCTATTTTCTTGTTCGTTTTCTCTCCTAGTGCATACCGATCTTTTCTAGTCTTGGGAAGTTCTGGTGCCCTTGTCTCTTGCATATAGACTCATTTTTGGTCTTGATGAGCCAAGACACATACTTTTATATTACAGTAAGGAAGGAAATTATTCTAGATCCAACATAATTTGTCCTTAATGCCTAATAATTTCAAACAAGAACTGTAATCTGCCTTGGATTGGATTTTTTCTCTAGTGTGGGGTGCTTTAATAGACCTTCACACTAATTAAACCTGTACATCACTTCTGCCCTACAAAAACATGGAAGATGCTTGTCAACCGAAAGGACTTTGTGTCACTGATATGCCAGCAGTCTGCATGATCGTTGTTCAAAAGAAGTCACTTACTGACTCCGGTTGGTTTTGTTTGCTTATTTGTTCCCTCTCCTCTCCCCAATCTTAGTGGACTGGGCTGTGGATCAAGCCCATTTTGCCCTCTTCTTCAACCAAGGGCAGTGCTGCTGTGCTGGATCCCGAACATATGTCCAGGAAGATATATATCATGAGTTTGTGGAGAGGAGCGTTGAGAAGGCCAAGTCCAGGGTGGTTGGAAACCCATTTGACTTTAAAACTGAGCAGGGGCCTCAGGTAAGAGCAGGAAATTTCCTGAACTATCTCACGAAATAGTCCCCATCTTGAGTCATCGTGCATCAGTAGATTAGAGTGAAAGGTATCCTGCGGTCTCTTGATTAGCCTCCTTTGAACTGTGGCCGTTATCTCCTTGCTTGTGCAGGAGGGGGAAGTTAATTAACCATTCTGATTATTCCAAAACCTCCACTTGACTGGCATTTAAAAATTGTCATCTCCCTTTGAAGCTGGTGTGGCAGTCTCTTGAAAGGAGGACTTGCCAGAGCACAGTCGCACGCACAGCAGGTTGTACTTGAAACCTTTTTTACCCCCAGCGAAGGTGAAGCTGATCTGTCTGTCCTCATGGCTCTTAGGTAGATGAAGAGCAATTTAAGAAGATCCTCGGTTACATCAGTACTGGGAAGCGTGAGGGAGCCAAACTGCTGTGCGGTGGCAATGCCGCTGCGGAGAGAGGCTATTTCATCCAGCCAACTGTCTTTGGCGATGTGCAGGACAACATGACGATTGCCAGAGAGGAGGTGAGACCTGCAGCGCCTTTCTGCCTGTCAGCCCCTTGCTTCATCGTTTTGCCCCCTCTGATGCAAAAAACCCCATAGATCTATGAGAATTGGATATTCATGAACTGTGAAACTCGATGCTGCTTAGAAAGTTGCCACATTAAACTTCCCCCCAGATTACATCCTGGGCACTTCGTAATATGGGAAGTGATACTTGATGACTTCTGCCACACATACGTAACTCCAGCATCAACCACAGCTTCCCTCATGACCAATTTGCACAGATTTTCACAGCCTTTGTTTGGATTTTACAGATATTTGGGCCAGTCATGCAGATTCTGAAATTCAAAACAATTGAGGAAGTCATTGAGAGAGCAAACAACTCCAAGTACGGCCTAGCGGCAGCAGTCTTTACCAAAGATCTTGACAAAGCGAACTACGTGTCACAGTGCCTGCGAGCCGGAACGGTTTGGTGAGCCTCAACACTTCCTTCTCCCTAAACTGCTGGAAGCTTCCTTGTGCGCTGCCATTTCTCATTAGGTTTGCTCTTTGACAGCCTGTCTGTACTTTGGATCCAATTTTACGTGCACTTCACTTAATCTAATGTCAGACCTTCGGCTGTAAATCTCTTGGTAAAATATAGGTATACGAAGCTTCCACGCTCTCCCTGTGGATTAATGAATGAGATGAGGGAAAAGAAATCCTGTGCTGCAGCTGGCAGCGACAGCAGCTGCTGCAGGGCTCTGCGTGCTGGTAGTGATTAGATCACTGAGCACGTCTGGGTGGCCTTGGCAGCCACAGTGGATGTTTCTGTGTTTGGAGGCCCTGCTGAGACTATGCCCAAGTCAGTACTTCAGCACCAGTGTGCTGTTCTAGCACAAGATTTTGGAGATCCAGCATCTCGCTTTTTTTTTTTCATTTGTGATGGCTTTTTTTTTAATTTGTGGTGGCAACCTGGACGCTTGGTCCTGCGATCGTGAGAGACATGAATTGATTTCATGATGCTCTGTTTCCTGGTTGATGAAGATAAGGTTTCAGTATTGATGATGCTCTGTTTCCTGGTTGATGACGATAAAGTTTCAGTATTAATTCTGTTGGCTGACTGGCAAATAGGGAAATCCTGCCTAGAAATTCAGCTGTCCCTCTGTTGTGAACAGATGAGATGTTTGTTTGCTGCACAAGGGCTCTTCCACTAGGCAGTTCAGAAACTGCAGGTGCTTAACTCGTGGCTTCCATTGCAGGATAAACTGCTACGATGTGTTTGGTGCACAAGCCCCCTTTGGCGGATACAAAGCTTCTGGGAATGGGCGAGAGCTGGGAGAATATGGTCTGGAGGCATATGTGGAGGTGAAAAATGTGAGTATCCCTGTATCCAAGGACTTCCCAACTCTCTGCCATAGCTCCAGATTGTACTTGTGCCTGTTGATAGAAGCACCGTTGCTGGCCTGAGAGTTGCAATTCTTCCTTCTAATGCTTGAAACAAAATTGGAGCTGCATTTCTGAAGGAACCACAAACACAACACTGTATAACTGCGTTTAAACCAGAAAGCCAGCCTTGCTTTGACACTGCTGAGGAAAACAGGGATGTGTGACCTAGTAGATTACCAATTGCCTGCACCACTTGGCACTGTTTAGCCATTTCTCTGGAAAGAATGCAAGTGTATGGACCCCTCCGAGTCGATTCTGTGGAGGACAGGAAGAGCATGTGCTGGGGAGTGCATGCCTGATGGGTGGAAGCTTCCGCAGGTACAAACTGGCAGATGAACACTGGGTGCTCCTCACTCAAGAGGGGGAATCTGAGCAGTGACTCCCAGTACTGAATGCTCCTCTCCTGCCTTGACATGCCTGTGGGTCTATGCGAAACCGGAGTTCCTGGTGTTAGGCATTTCCATCTCTGCAGGGTGGGTGATTTCCTGTAGGACAAGGCAGAAGGGCTGCCGCACTGTCTGCTTGCAGCTGTAGTGTCTGAAGGGTGACGGAGCTCTTGGGCAGAGGTGGTTAGCCCGTGGCCCCTGAGTTGCAATGCAGCAACGTACGGAATGGTTGAGGGCCTCCAGCTTGTGGCTGGCAGGGGCTGATTTGGTAAAGGAGCTCCAGGAGAGAACAACTGTGCCCGCTCCCACCTCTCAGAGAGCAGTGGCATCGCTGGTGAGGTGCTGTGAGCCGGCCTTTGAGCTTCCCCCTCTTCGAGCTGTCCAGACAGGGCTCCAGATCAGGGTGATAGCAGGCATTGACCACTGGTCTCTGGTTCTCCTTGAAGGATGTTGTGGCCTCTCAGCCTTCAGGTGAATATAACTGAACACTGTGTCCAGGGCAGTAACTTATGACTGTTTTTTTTCCTAGGTGACTATCAAAATTCCACAGAAGAACTCCTAAAGGGCAGCAGCCCCTCCCTGCATTTGGAAACACCTGTGCAGCTTCATGTGATACCAAGCAAGGAAACCTCTTTTTACACACACAAAACTTAGGTGGAAAATAGGTAACTCTGCATTAAGAAATGATTCTTTAGAAGGTGCCTGAAGGAGCTTTTGTAAAAAAACCCCACCATTACTTGTCTTTCTCTTTTTAAAATACCCAATACAGTCACTTGAGTAGTAACGCATTACACCGCTGTACTCCCGTTGCACTTGTGTCTGATGGATGTGCTGCTTTTTCCCAAGAAGTCGTTTAAATGCAGGCCTGCAGTAAGTTTTGTCCTAATGTTTTGTTGGCTTACGCAGCTAGCCCTATGCTCCTCATCCTGTAGAACCACATACGGCCCTGAGCTTCAGCTGTGTAACCGGGCAGGAGGGCAACCTCTCGACATCAACCTGGGAGGTAAAAGTTTGGGTTTTTGCGGCTCCAACCTTCTCTCTTTGTATCAACTTGCAATAAACGTGTTTGTCTTAGTGAAGTGGGCCCCACCTTTGTTGGAGCAGTTTGTGTCGGGGGCTTAACTGTGCGTTTTCATCCCCACATCCGTTAGCCCTGGCCTCAAGGTATTTTTAAGGTTTGTGCTGGCTTTCTGCACTGCCCACGTTTCTCATCCTGCCTTCCTGTTAAAGGAAGTCTCCCCCCCAGCAACAGCGCTGCCAGCCCCGGGACAACAGGCCGTTTGCTGGCAGACGGGACGGGCTGAGCTGTGCCTCAGCGCGTGCGGGAGCTGCCGTGGGAGACATCGCTCTCGTGTCACGCTTAGCACGCGACCCGTGCTGGAGGGCAGGTGCGCTGCTGAGGGCAGGACAAAGCCGTGGAGGGTACAAGGCGCGGGTGCCCGCTCGTCCCCGCCGGGACGGGCCCGGGCT